CAAGCGCTTAACTGTTGTGCCACCACGGCTCCTTGTGCTTCATGTGCATTACCTCATTAATCCCCCTAACAACTCGCAAGTATTCTCATCCCCATTTTAGAGAAAATGGAGGCACAGAGAAGTCAAGCAAGTTACCCAGGATCACACAGCTGGTAACTGGCAGAGCCAGGCTCAAATCTGGAGCAGTCTGCCTCCAGAGTCTGTGTTCTTAACCACGGTGTTTTATCCCCTTGGAACCTTAGTCTCTTCATCTGTAAATCAGCATGAAGGTGACAGGGCCAATGGGCACAGGGTTGGAGTTAACACTTACCCAAAACAACAAAAGCAATAGTAACAAATGTGTAGTGAGCATTAACTGCCTCAGGGAAAGAGGTAGCATGGAACAGTAGTCAAGGGCTTGGATTCTGGCATCAGGGAGATCTGAGTTCAAATGCGGGCTCTGCCACGCATTAGTGGGACAAGTTCCATGTCCTTCTGAGCCTCAGTTTCTTATCTATAAAATGGGGATAAAAGTACCTACCTCATAAGGCTGTTGAGATGTTAAATGAGATAATGCGTAAAAATGGCATAGACCAGGGTCTGCTCAATAAAGGTTAAGGGGTGGTGGCAGGGATGGGGGGTGGGTAGGAGATAGGGATACAGGTGGACCCTGACTGAGATCAACAGCCTGAGGTGGGGGCTTTAATTCCCAGAGAGCTTCCAGACTAGCTGAAGGGACACTCTCCCTTACAGGGCTCCCAAGGCCAACGGGAAGCCTTGTACTCTGCCTGGACCTCAAAAAACTTGGGCTTTGCAAACAGTTACTCACCCAGTAGGAGAGAATAGTGACAAAGCTCACAGCTACCGTTCACTGAGCACCTATTTCGTCCAAAGCAGTCCTTCAGGCCGATGGTTCCCAGACTGTGCTCCGAGATGCCTCAAGGCCCAGCAGAAGATTATAGAGGATTTTTGGAGGAAACACAGTGGCATCTGTTGGACACTTCTGAAACTACAGCTCTAGGTAGTTCCAGTTTCCGTGTTAGATGGGGCTACACTCCCTTGATGATATGCAAAATAAATGTGGAACAGGAAGCGAGGGCGGTAGGGTTAAATGGTTAAGCGCTTGGCTGCTAACCGAAAGGTCAGCGGTTCAAACCCACCAGCAGCTCCAGGGGAGAAAGATGCGGCAATCTGCTTCAGTAAAGATTACGGCCTTGGAAACCCTATGGGTCAGTTCTAGTTTACCCTATAGGGTCACTATGAGTAGAATCTACTCAATGGCAATGGCTTAAGGTGTCTAATCAGATTCCAAGGTTGGAGAAGTTATGTAGAGCCCAACAGGCCCATACATCCCGTGAGTACATACTTATGGTTATTTAGGAGCCCTGGTGGTGCAGTGGTTAAAAGCTCGGCTGCTGACCAGAAGGTTGGCAGTTTGAATCCACCAGCTGCTCCTTGGAAACCCTATGGGGCAGTTCTATCTGTCCTATAGGGTCACTATGAGTCAGAATCAACTCCACAGCAAAGGATTTGGTTTGGTTTATGGTTATTTAAAAATGAACTAAAAATACTTTTCTTTCAATTTCTGTGCATTCAGTTTTTTTTTTTTTTTTGCATTAAGTTTTAAGGACATAAATAGTAATCAAGTTGTCGTGATTAAACTACCTAATAAACATAACTGTTCATTTTGGGGGGAGTAGGGGACCTTGGGGCACTGTGAAAAAAAATGACTGAGACACTAAGAAAGCCCCTGGGTGGTATAAACAGTTAACACGCTTGGCTGCTAAAAAGGCTGGAGGTTCAAGTCCACCCAGGGGCACCTTAGAAGAAAGGCCCGGTGATCTACTTCCAAAACATCACCCACTGAAAACCCCATGGAACACAGTTCTACTCTGACACACATGGGGTTGCCATGAGTTGGAGTCAACTCCAAGGCAGCTGAAAGTGTGCCTAGAACAAGCAATTTTGGGATCTCTGCATTTTACTCTTTATAAAAATTGTCTTAAGTAACTTGAATAAGAGATACTAACTTACTTGCCTGGGCCCACCCAGCTGGGGGATGGGAGAAGGAGTGGGGGTGGGTATGTGGGAGCAGTAAAATTCAAACCAGGTCCTGGGTGATCCTCAAGAATGCAAAATGCCTCTCCCAATCATGAGTTAATTCAGCTTCACCCTCTTAGTATGGGAAGGAAGGTAGGCTGGGGGCTGGAACCAGCCCTTTCTGCTTGCCTTACTGACATCCCTTCCCATCTATTGGAACCGCTACTCAAGGGGCCCAGAGCAACAGCCTCCGTGTGTGTTGGGAGCTGAAGGTGGGGCCTGGGAAAATGTCTCTCCTTAAGCCCCCTGGAGGCCTTCCCCACTCACCGCCATTCCCTCTCCCACCAAATCCACCTTCAGTCCAAGAGTCACCAGCTCAGCCACCTGGCTGTTGGAGGACCCAGCAATTAAGGAGTTCAAACATTGTGCAAAGGACCCAGGCCCCACGCTCCTTGCTCCCTCTGGTTTCCTGTTCTAGATGAAAAGTTACTCAGGGGCAGCTGCAGGCAGCAAGCCACCTCCTGGCAGGGGGTTAGTGAGGGGGAGGACCATGAAGCCACCAAGGAACAGTTCACAGCACCGTCCCTGCCCTTTAACCAGGGGCAGAATTCCTGCACTTGAGAATTCTGCACCCAGCAGCGAGCTGCCTAACTGCAAAGCAACTAGTTTTGGCCACTGGTCACACTGGAGGAAGGGTGGAATCCCGCCCTTTCATGGGGGCAGCTGCTAGTGCCATCCTGCTTGGGTTTAAAACCCTGCTCCATGGGACTCCGAGCAAGGCACTGACCCTGTCAGCCTCTGTTTCCTCCCCTACAGAACGGGAATATTAACAGAACCTACTCCATACGTTGTCTGGAAATGGAATACATTACTAACGCTTAGCACTGAGCTAAGTATACATGGTCAGTGCACAATGAACTTTAGCCACTTATTCATTCAACCAATATTTATTGAGCACCTACTGCGTGAAAACCCAAACCTGTTGCTGTCGAGTCAATTCTGACTCATGCAGACCCCATGTGTTACAGAGTAGAACTGTTCCATAGGGCTTTCTTGGCTGTAATCTTTATGGAAGCGGATCACCATGCCTTTCTTTCATGGTGCCAGTGAGTGGATCTGAACTGTCAACCTTTAGGTTGGTAGCTGAGTGCAAACCATTTACGCTACCCAGGGACCTTACCAACTATATACCAGGAACTATTTTAGGCACTGGGAATACAGCAGTGAACAAGACAGACAGAAGCCCTGCCCTCAGGGGCTTATATTCTAGCAGAGGGAGACAGGTCATAAACAACAAATTTGCATTACTTGAAAAAAATCTTTTATTGACATATAATACACTGACCATAAAATTCACCCTTTTAAAGTATACAGTTCAGTGGTTTTTATTATATTCACAATGATGTACAACCATCACATGCACCATCAATTTTAGAACATTTTATCTTCCCAAAAGAAACCCTATGCCCTTAGCTAGCAACTGCATCCCCCAAGCCCTATGCAACTACTAATCTACTTTCTGTCTCTATGGATTTGCCTATTCTGGACACTTCATACCAACGGAATCACATAATATGAGGCCTTTTTGTCTGGCTTCCTTCACTTAGCATAATGGTTTCAAGGTTCATCCCTGTTGTAGCATCTGTTGGTACTTCATTTCTTTTTATGGCTGAATAATAAACATGTAGTACGTACCAATCACATTTTATTTATCGATTCATTAGTTGAAGACATTTGGGGTGGGTTATTTCCACTTTTTGGCTATTATGAATAATGCTGCTATGAACATTTGTGTACAAATTTTTTGGCAGACGTATGTTTTGGATCTTCCTGGGTTTTGCATTCATTTTGCTTTTCTAATATATTGCATTAGAATATTATTTATGTTGGTTACTAGGTTTGTTGGTATCCCCTTAACATGTGCACCTAAGGCAAGTACCTCACTTGCCTCTCCCTAGTCTGGCTCTGCAAGTCTTGGCCCTTGCTAGCTGTGTGACTTTGGGTAAGTTGTTTAACCTCTCTGAGGCTTAGTTTCTTCTTCTTCCCCTGCACCTACTCACAGGTGTTAGGAGGATACAAGTAGTCCCCGATTACGAACGAGTTCTGTTCCTAAGTCTGTCTTTTAGTCAAATTTGGACGTAAGTCAGAACAGTTAGGTGCTGTTCATATCTAACATCAGTTAGTCAGATGTTTGTCTTAATATATGGTATATAGTGTACCTTTCTATGCATAAAAAACATTAAAGAAACACTTCCAGATACAAGAAAACATCTTTAACATAATAATACAGCAACAACAATAATAATGTTTTGATGCGTTCACAACGTAGCACTGGTTTGTATTACGAACCATTGAATGTACCTCCGAGTTTTAATATAATAGGTTTTCCTGGGATTGGTTCCTAACTTAACTATCAGTTGTATGTAAGTTGGAGGTTCCTAACCAGGGGACTGCCTGTACAATGAAGTAACAATACATGTTAGAGACCCAGAATAGTCCCTCAAGCACAGTAGACTCCAGTCAACAAGTTTTTCCTACATGCAGGCCTCGTGTTGAGCCTGGGGAGGGGAGTCCCAAAATGGGCGTGATCTAGCCCTGCCCCTGAGGAGAGCACGCCCAGCTGCCTAGAACTCCCTGCTACTTCTGTTTCTAAAGGAAACCTGCCTTTTTTGCTCTCCTGCCTCAGCCTGATGCCCTACAAGGCCCTTAGGGTGGACCCAATGCTCGCCCAAAGTCCTCCCGGGCTCCTAGCACCTTCCATCCCAACTGTCCTGGGCCCCGCGCCTCCGCCTCCCCCACCTTCCGCTCTGCCTGCTCCCATTGAACGCCGTGGCTCCCTGTCCCTCTGCGCTGCCATGAGGCCTGCACTTTGCGCGCGGCAGGGCTGAAGTCCAAAGTTCACTCCCTTTGCTAACCACACGGATAAATATGAACCTTGGAGAATTTCCCCAGCTCCAATGTAAACAGAGCGGGCAGGGGCCCTGATTCACTGGCCGCTGGGGCCAGGGTTGGGGGCTGGGGGTGCCCACACAGCTCGGCTAGAGGGGCTTGGGGGGGGTGCAGTGGGTGCAAGGAGCCTGGCTTGGGCCCACTGGGCTGCCGGCAGTGGACGGCCCACGTGGTGGGGGAGGCCGTGGACCTGGTGGTCCCGGGCCGCGCGGCCCAGTGGCGGTGGAGCCATGGTTGCCAAACTGAGCCAACTGCAGACGGAGCTCCTGGCGGCCCTGCTCGAGTCGGGCCTGAGCAAAGAGGCGCTGATACAGGCCCTGGGTGAGCCAGGGCCCTACCTGCTGGCCGGGGTCGAGCCCCTGGACAAGGGGGAGTCCTGTGGCAGTGGCCGAGGGGAGCTGGCCGAGCTTCCCAACGGGCTGGGGGAGACGCGGGGCTCCGAGGACGAGACGGACGACGATGGGGAAGACTTCACGCCGCCCATCCTCAAAGAGCTGGAGAACCTCAGTCCCGAGGAGGCGGCCCACCAGAAGGCCGTGGTGGAGACCCTTCTGCAGTAAGGACCCCCTCCTTGCCCCCAGCGCCCGAGACGGAGCCCACCCCAGCTCCTGACCAGCCCCTCTTCAGAGTAGAGAGTCGCCATGAGCTGTGGCCTTTAGCCCAGGTATCGGGAAAGGGACCGGGCGGTGAGAGCTCAGAGGGGGCTAGGAGGCTGGAGCCCCCAGCCCCTGAGGCAGCCTCTCTGTAGGGTCTCCTGGCCCAGGAGCCATTCAGCCTAGAGCCTGGGAAGTAGGACGTGCCCCAGGCAAGCTCCGAGGGGGCAAAAGGCAGCAGACTGCAACTGAAATGCCTGGAGAATCCGAGGGTGGTGGGAAGATGGTGGTGGGAATTTCTAGCCAGCAAGGCCATTTCTGCTCCTCAAACCCTAACTTCCCTGCCAAGTCCTCAGAATGTAGGCTCAGGGGCCAGGAAGCACAGCTGGGGGGCCTAGGCTGGGGATTTGGGGGCTTCCCCAGTCATCTTGGGACTCAAGTGTTCACCCAGGAAAGCCCAGAGCTTTCTTACCTGAGGGGGATGGAGCCTGGGGGCAGCAGCTGCTCCCCTTCCTGCACAGCCACAGCACCTCCCCCACACCTTGCCAGCAAGCACCATTAGTGACTTCCCAGTCTGTACCCCCATCCACCGACTGGCTCCCCATCTCCTGAACTGGGTGGGTCCCAGGCTGGATGCCTCCCCTCTCCTCAGCAGAGGTGACCTGGTTACTAATTACCCACGGGCTTTATTATTTCTCTTTTGTTTTATATATTTATAAACAGCAAAAGGCTCTGATAAGGCCTGTGATCATTAACTTGTAGGGATGGTGGCCTGGAGAGACCTGGGCCAACCAACCTCCCACCAGTGGAGGTAGAGGATGGGAGGTTCAGGTGGAGGCAGGGTGACCTGGGGGCTGGGGGCTGCAGGGTCCTCCCCTCGGGAAAAGCTCCATAGCTTCCATCCCAGCAGCCACCTGCTTCCTAAAGTTTACAACTTGCTGGACCCTGTGCTGAGGTTTCTCGTTTGTAATTTTGGTTAATGTTGAGATTAACCCTGTGAGGAAGCTAACGCTCACTCTGCTTCACAGATGGCAAACAGGCTCAACGAGGAGAAGTAGCCTACTAAGGCAGCCCAGCTGGGCCTCCAAGCCCAGCCTGTTTGGTGCTCTAAACCCCTATGACTAGCGGCCAGGGGAGCTGGGGTGGTTGGGGACCTGAGGATGAGCCCGCTACAATGTTCTGAGGGGATTGCCTTTGTTCTGTCCAAGGTCCTGATGCCTGCTTGGGGTGGGGGAGGGCTGGTGGCTCGGGGCTTCCCAGTGGCCTCAGGGTGCTTCGGGTCTGCCCGGTCTCGTGAGGCCCTGGGTAGGGGGCAGGGAGGCAGCCAGGGCCCCCTGACTTGGCAGGAAGAGGAGGACAAAGGGCGGCAGGGCTACAGGGGTGGGGCAAGGAGCCAGGCATCGCCAGACCCAGGGCAAGGGCAACCTGGGCAGGGTGGGGCTGGGTTGGACCTGCTGGGGGCCCTAGATGGGTTTGGGGGTGCTGGGGTGGGGGAGCAGCAGGTGCCCAGGGCCTTTCTTACCTGGCTGGGTGGGACCTCTTGATCAGCAGCCCCTTAGGTGGGACGGTGGGGGGAGGCTTGATCCACAGCTCTCGAAGCGGGAGCAGAGGTCAAGGTGCTCCCTGGGGACGAGCAGGGCCCTGGGGCCTTCCAGAAATCAGAGGGAGAAAGGGGACGTCGGGGAGATGGAGAGAGAGCCCCGAGGAACAGAAAGCAGCGGAAACGAGCAGGGAGAGGGACCCAGGCCCAGCGGGGCGAAGGGGCTGGGGAGAAAGTGAGGTGCCCCAAGCTGAGAGGAGAGGAGGCTGGAGTGCCTCCCGCCTGCCCGCCCCATTGGGTTTTCTTTAATGCTAACAGCATGCTATTTACTTTCCATTTAAATTTGAGATGTTGCTATAAATTATCAACCAGCTCCTTGTTCCTGTGGAGTTTATAACTAACTACCTGGGTTACTTATTGTTCAGGTAACAAAAGGGACCTGAAAACGCCCTGAGGGAAAAAAAGTGGGGCTTCTGGCCTCCAGGCAGGGAAAGGAGACTGAGGCAAGGCCTGGGCTGGGGTGGGGAGACGTGGAGGTTAAGGCTGGAAGAGATGGTGCAGAGTCAGGACCTCCAGGGGAAGTCGTGTCTCTGGAGAGGACAAGTGTCTGGGAAGATGCAGGGCTGGATACTGGGTCCCAGGCCTCCCTAGGGTGCCCATGCCTGAGGCCATACCAGAAACCCGTCTTAGTCCATGTAACCTTAAGCAAGTCTCTTCCCCACCTTCTGCCTCAGTTTCCCCCCACCTGGCCAATGAACAAAATCCAAACTTCCTGCCCTGGTCTCTCCCCTCCCTCAACTTCCCTGCCCTCTTTCAGGACCTCTCTCTCCCTCACTCACTCACTTTGCCCTAGTTAAGCTGACCTTGCTGTCCCTGAACACACCAAGCTGATTCTCACCTCAGGGCCTTTGCACATCCTGTCCCTTCTGCCTAGAAGCCTTGTTCTAGATCTTCCCACAGCCCATTCCTTCTTCTCCTTCAGCTCAAATGTCACCTCCTCAGGGAGGTCCTCCCTGACCACCACATCTAAAGGTGGGTCCCACCCCTAGTAACTTCCTCTTCCACCACCCTTGTTTACTTTCTCCTATCACTTATGGTTATCTTATTTATCTGTTTGTTAGTTTTCTTCTATCTCTTGGTATGAAAATAGAAGCTCTTCAAGGGCAGGACCTGAGTTGGGTACTTGTTCGTCACTTGTACCCTAGTATCCATCCCAGTGATTGACACATAGGAGTCCCCGGGGGGCACAAGTGGTTAAGCACTTGGCTACTAACTGAAAGGTTGGCAGCTCGAACCCATCTCGAGGTGCTTTGTAAGAAAGGCCTGGCAATCTGCTTCTGAAAGTTCACAGCCATGAAAACCCTATGGAGCACTGTTCTGCTCTGGCACACGTGGGGTTGCCATGAGTCGGATTTGACTTGATGGCAACTGGAAATTGGTGGCTGACACACAGCGTGAATGAATGCGAGACGAGGACTGTCTGAACCCTGGCACATCTACTGTCTCGGTGGCCAGCGCCCAGCAGGCTGAGGCCGTGACCGAAGGAGGAACTTGGACCCAGGTTCCTCCCTGTCCCCAAGCAGCTCAAGCCCCTACCCTGAAGCACTCCGATCCTCCTCACTGGGCAGCACTGGTGCACTGAGGCCCAGAAAGACAATGGCCAAGGTGGAACTAAGGATCTGACATCCCTGACTGAAGCCAGACTGCCTGGGTTTGAATCCCAGCTCTGCCCCTTTCTAGCTTGGGCAGGTGATTTCACCTTTCTGAACCTCAGTTTCCTCTGCAAGGTGGAGATGATACTACTTAACCGCCAAAACCAAAAATCAAACCCACTGCTATCAAGTCGGTTCTGACTCATAGCTACCCTACAGAACACAGCAGAAGTGCCCTACAGGGTTTCCAAGGCTGTAAGTCTTTTTTTTTTTCTTTATTAAATTTTTATTGTGCTTTAGATGAAGGTTTACAGAGAAAAGTAGTTTCTCATTACACAATTAATACACATATTGTTTTGTGACACTGGTTGCCAACCCCGCCACATGTCAATAGTCCACCCTTCTCGACCTTGGCTTCCCCATTTCCATTCGTCCAGCTTTCTTGTCCCCTCCTGCCTTCTCGTCCTTGCCCCTGGGCTGGTGTGCCCATTTAGTCTCATATATATGGTAGAGCTACATGCGTTACTGTTTGTTTTATGGGCCTGTCTAATCTTTGGCTGAAGGATGAAACTCAGGCGTGACTTCAGTACTGAGTAAAAGCGTGTCTGGGGGCCATACTGTTGGGGTTTCTCCAGTCTCTGTCAGACCAATAAGCGTGGTATTCTTTTGTGAGTTTGAACTTTGTTCTACGTTTTTCTCCAGCTCTGTCTGGGACCCTCTATTGTGATCCCTGTCAGAGCAATTGACGGTAGTAGCCGGGCACCATCTAGTTGTCCAAGGCTGTAAATCTTTACGGAAGCAGACTGCCACATCTTTCTCCTGTAGAGCAGCTGGTGGATTAGAACCGCTGGACTTTCAGTTAGCAGCTGAGTGCTTAACCACTGGGCCACTAGGGCTCCTTTACTTACTCACAGGGTTAATTAAATAGCATAATTGTAGAATGCACACACAGTAAGTACAATACCTGGTAGCTATTATTTGTAGCCCCATTTTACAAATAAGCAAATCAAGGCTCGGGGAGCCAAAATGACTTGCCCTGGTAACTCTGACAAAGTGGTTAGCACCAAAACTTGGACCCGGGTCCTCCTATCCCACCCACACTCTTCATAGCATCCTTGAGGTTTGCATGCTTCTCCTTGGTAAGTTTGCCTTCCCTTTCCCTCTTGCCAGGCATTCTTGCTGTTCAACCACCCCCCATCCATAACACCATCAACTCACTGCCATATGATGCTTTTTGTTGTTGTTGTTAGGTGCTGTCGAGTCGGTTCTAACTCACAGCGACACCGTGTACAACAGAACGAAACACTGCCTGGTCCTGCACCATCCTCATAACCGTTGCTGTGTTTGAGCCCATTGTTGCAGCCACTGTGTCAGTCTATCTCATTGACGGTCTTCCTCTTTTTTGCTGACCCTCTGCTTTAGCAAGCATGATGTCCTTCTCCGGAGATTCGTCCCTCCTGATAATATGTCCAAAGTACATGCGACGAAGTCTCCCCATCCTCGCTTCTAAGGAGCATTCTGGCTGTACTTCTTCCAAAAGATTTTACAGATGCATTAATTTATTTTCTCCTCCCCAGAACCCTCTGAAGTTAGTTATTATTAGCCCTATATCACAGATGAAGAAACTAAGGCACAGGGAGGTTAAGCAAACTTCCCAAGGCGCCATGGATAGCGAGTGGCAGAGGGGGATTCAAACCCAGGTCTGCAGGGCCCCACACTGAGCTCTCAGCCCCTCCTGGGGTGGGTGGCTCTACAAGCTGGTCTCCCAGCT